TGATGCTCTCCTACTCTAGGGGTATAAGAAAGTCTAAACTTACAAATCGTAGCATGCAAACAATTTGTGTGAAAAGGTAATTATACAGTCATTATGCGCCGCATCAGATCATTGTCATCTGTTGGGTCAAAAAATCAACTGGTTAAGCGCAAAAGTTCTAGATGACAGCGCTTATGTACCTTCTCCAGGTAACAAACAAAGTTAAAACGCGTGGGATTTAGCCAAATAACAGACATTCAACAAAATAAAAGCCATAATATTATCCAGATTTACCTGTGATGACAAACCATATGCTTTATGTATAGCAAAAGTTAATTCGCGTAGTATATGGCTCTATCAGGCCAAGCTTTCGTCTCTGTTATAATGATAATAAGATCAAGTCTCATATAGCTCAACTTTTACTTTCCTTAAACAGTGAATATGATCACTCCATGTGCAATAAATGATGTATTTTTCCTGTCATCCAAGCTGAACAAATTGCTAAAGTCATTTTATAAAACCAAAGGCGTATACAAATTACGAGCCTCTGGTTACCCTTCAGATAACCTTTTTTATTTCTTAGATATTGGTATTTAAAAAAGTTGGTTTGATTGCTAGCACAGAGCATAAACGAGGATGAACTTGAACTTGGAAAGGCTTGCAAGGAGCGTGCTCTCCGTCAATAGCAACATAGGCTGTCTGTCCAGGTTTAAGCACAGGCGTCAATCGAAATGCCTTGATCTTGTAGTATTCGACCTAAAGAATAGCGTTAATAAAGAAATAATCAATCTGAATGCACTACTGACGATGTCATTATGAATATGGTGGCCCTTTTCTACTTTAGTGAATACGTCCAGCTGTTTCTTAATACCAGGCGATCGACGTATCAACAAAAGATCGAGTGTACCATCATTTGGCAGTGCACAAGGGTGACTGAGCATGCCTCTGGACAAAAGAGGTACCTTACTTGCCAAAAACATTGAGATATTGTCCTTGATAACCATCCAATCAGATGGTACAGGTTCAGAAAGAGGTGGTAGCGTGTCTTCCAGATTGAGCTCTTCTTGCTCAAGTATAGATCCTTTGAATACTCTGCATTCCTGTATGATTTTCTTTTTATCAGATTCAACCACCTGAATCGCTGCTTCTACGCCGTACGTATGACGAGCAAAGATCTCCTGTAATAATCCTACAATTGTACGAGTATCGCCCATCCATCGCATGTGTTCTGTAGCCAAATCAGCGTAAGCAGCGATACCGTAGTTTTGTGACAAAAATGAGAAATAACGATGATCGTCATAAGTAATTGAACAGAGATCAAGAGGCATAGGCTTTCCTAATTTTTTGTTCAGCAAAAGTCATCACTCCTTTTTTTTTGAATCCTTACCTTTGATAACTTGAAGTGCGGTATAAACAGGATCGAATCCTCTTTTCTCGCCCAAGATGGAGATGATCAATGAATTTCCAGTGCCACCAGGGATGATGCCTAAAGTTATTTTCTTCATCACGTCCTTGGCATCAGATCGTGCCAAAAATCCATTGATAACCTCATGCACTACGCCATCTCCGCTAACGGTGACCACAGCATCATATGCGTCAACATCCAATTCCTTTGCAATATCAATCGCATGTCCCTGTCGCTGAGTATCTAACAATAAAAAAAAGCAATGTAAGCTAATGTTTCTTATTATTATTTTTTCTTACTCTTGACGGTAACTTCACACTTGGCGGCTTGAAATATAGGACGAACATGGTACTCGAATATTTCCTTGGCTTTGCCTTGTCCTCCAAATGGG